GGGGGGGGGGGGGGGGGGGGTTGGACCCATTGGTGATGGGGGCAGAGGCATGGTAGGTTTCATGGAAGTTATGGAGAAAAGGACAATTGTCACTCTGTCTTCAACCTCTCTTTTTTCCCCTATTTATTTATAAATACATAGATTTTGGAAACATTATCAACAAAATATACGATATTATTTGACATGCAATGTTATCCGACAAATTTAAAATTTATATTTTTTTTGGTAACCGGATATTATAGATCAATGTTTAAGTTAAATCTAGATGGGAAGTCAGCCATATAATTTGAATTACCCAAGTTAAAATTCAAACTCGGGATGTGACACACGTTCACGCCTCCTTTTACCGATTGAATTAACCAAATTTGGGTTTTAAAATTCATATGTTAATATAAGATTTCTATTTTTTTAGTGATCCATATGAAATATGAAAATATGATACAAATAAGATGCGTTTATTTGTGTGATATTTGGCTATACCGATCATCAGCGTAACATTCATATCATTGGATTTTCTCGTAATACATAATATCTAAAGTTTATATTTTTATATGATTATTGATAATTGTATTATAACACGCATTACAGTTTAGATTTTAATATTAAAGATTTAAGTTTTACAAAGAAGAATATTTTTTTATCTAGTATGCGGTTGATTTAAATTAATTGGTTGCAATAAATATACATACTGATTATTAATTATAAAATATCGAAATGGGACATGTTAATGTCAAGTTGTATTAGAAATTCCATTTATTTCCAAATGGCTATTTTATATCCATTGAAATAATGAACTAACAGTTAAAATCAAATTATATATTTTATTCACTGTTTTTTTCTAATTTTTCTAGATATTCGATACTTTCTATTTAAATTCTACTGATTGAAAACTTTCTGTTAATGATTATTCTCACACTTTTTTTTTATATCCAAAGTCCAAACAATCAATTAATGTGATGTAAAAATTAATTTATTATTTAAATGATGTTTACATGTTGTTAAAGAAATTCTTGCTGTGTATTTGTGTTTTAATAAATATCACAAAAGAATAATCTACAATAAAAATAGAAATATCCACACAACCAAACTCGCCTTGACCAAATGGCAAAGGGTTGAGCCGTGAAGAAGATCAAGAGGAATGGCTTCGAGATTGGGCTAAAACTAGGGAAGCGTTCAAAAATCTAATTTGAATTCAAACCAATTTTTATTATATTAATTAAAAACAAAGAATATAAAATAATCGAAAATTTTAATATTTATATCAATAAAATCAATTTAAATTAAACCGAATTTATTATAAAAATGAATCGATATAATTTTTTAAAAATATAAAAACTCAACTCGTAAATAACCGATCAAACACAAACCGAAAACCGAAATACCAATCCAACGAAAAAATAATAACACAAAATAAATAAATAAATAAACAGAAGAAAAAAAACATAATCCTCAAGCAGAAAATTGTGTTGTATTTATTTTTCTTAACAAATTAAAATTGACGACACGAGGAGTTGTCATAGTTGCCTCGCAGTTAATGAAATATGTGCTTCCAGAAATTCCGACCTAATTCGTTGAATTCCATATTTTACGCACAACACGTATCGTGAAATCAAACACATGTTTTTATCAAAAAAAAATAAAAATCAAACACATGCATATTATATATATATATGTATGCATATATGTGTGTCAATAATTTTTTTAATCGGATATAAACCGTTATTTTAAAACGAAGGGGACGTATTTCATTTCGTTACGTGGAACAGAAATCATCTTCAAATAATATTACAATATAGCGTGAAATATAGAATTACAAAGTATATATATAACAGCAAAGCATTATAGCTCTTTTGGGTTTTCAAGAATGTTTTGCAAATCCCAAAATCTAGTTTGAATGAAATTAAAGGCGATCCTATTTATCAAGTAAAAGTTTGAGCTAAAAGCATTAAAGTTATAAAAGAATTTAAATTGTATATATATATATATATATATATAACACTATCAAATGTATGGATATATATTTAGCGTTAAGATCCATTTATTTTAGCTTGATTTTTTATTTTAAAAAGTTATATTCATTCAAATTTACATGAATTTTTTCTATTTATATTTTATTTAGGTAAATTTTTAAAAGAAAAATTCTTTTATCTCTCGGTTTATTTTTAGTAGTTGATTCTGATTTGATTAATTTAATTTAAAAAAAAAATATTCAATTCATTTTTAAATTAGATCCAATACGAGTATTCATTATTTATTGTAGTTCATTTTTCAAATATCTAACTCCATCTATACGTTTATCAAGATAAATAATAAATATATACAAACAAGGGTGTAGGTCAAATATCTCAATCGTTGACTCGTAGACGCGTGTGTAAGTACAATAAATGCATACGCAAATATGATATATATATATAAAGGCAGGCATGCATGCATGCATAGTCTTAATATAACATATATGGACTTTGTTTTTCTCATTTGACTTACGTGGAAATTAGTTCTCTTGGATTGTATTGGACAGAAGAAGACGTTCAAAGATAAGCTTCAAACACTGCGAATGCGAAGAAGACTTTCCACGTTGTTTTTGGTCGTCGTCGCACACACGCACATAGGAATACAAACTGCTCCATCAGTGAAAGACTATTAATTTCTCTTCCGTATACGTTTTTTACTATTTAATTCCCCCTAATAATTAAACATAAAAAAAATTGGCTATTATAAAATTCTACTTGTGTTTTTATTATAAATACATTATTAATATAAATACGTGGTTTTAAACTACAATTGGAAAAAAATATCATGTGTTAAAATAGAAAAATGAATATGTAATTGGAAGAAAATATAGATTTTGAGATATTATTTTCAATAATGATGCATACATTATTATGTTAAATATTATGTATCATATTTGTTTCATTATATCTATATTTTTTAGTTCATTTATTAAATTTTCTATAAATACGTAAGTTATTTTAATTATAATGTAAGTAGAAGAAAAAGAGATGTAGTAATAAAGTAATTCAATTCTTTTTTTATATTTATCTTTCTTTCTTATTTAATTTTTATAATTTTATATTTCTGGACTTTAAAAATATTACGTAAAGTAAGATTAAGGTTATAAGAAACTAAAAAATAGGGTTAGAGTTAGGGTTTGGTTAATCTTTTCCAAATCAATCGTGATATCAAATTCCTCGCTCATTTTTTTTTTCCATTTGATTTAACGTATATAACTACAAGGGTACACTTTGTTTTTGTTTTCTAATTAATTTTTGTTGGAATAATGGGGTATGACATCCTTTATAATTCGTTAGGAATGCTCCACCTACAATTATTGGTAAATGCCAACAACTTTGATTTATAAAGACCGAAAAGAAACTTTTGTATACATTATATATTAAATATATATTTATCGATTTTGGAAAAATAAAATTTTCATGATTAGATTTTGGGGATGCGGAGTCCGATTTCAAAGAAATTTCCATGCGGGAAAATGTTTAAAAGGCAAAAGCATGAATCCAAGGAGAAAAAAGTAGTCGTGCGAGTTGATATATATATATATATATATATATATGTCTACGTGCGTTCCACGATTCTTCCCTTATTTTCTTGTAATATAACACATTTTTGAACTAAGACAGTTGACAGAAATATATTATCATGTTTTGGGAACAAAACTTTATTTTTTTAATAAATATTGGGGATAAACGAATATTTAGTATAACCATTATTTTTTTTACATAATTCATTAAAGGTTTTCGTTCAGATATTTATACTTATGAAAAGAAATCATTTTGTTTTTAAAATGGCTCAAAATTCACAAACATTTCTGAAATTACCTAATAAATACTTAAAATACATCTCTTACAAATTCAGATACTATATATATATATATATATATATTAAGAAAAATTACTCTTTATATCATACGGATAAAATTTTAAGAAAAATTACAGACGTTAACACCTGGAAATCTAATTCACTTGATTGATGACCAATTTCGTCTCATATCAAAACTATTATTCTTAAATCCTACGGAATGCCACAAAACATGCAAAATCACCCAAAATTGGGACATAAAACAATTTTATAATCCGGATTTCGGTTTCCATTTGGGAGGTAATGAACTTCTCCGACCCTAATTGGGCCGGTAAACGACGAACGCGATACGTCGTCGGTCCAAAGAATGACATTCTTCGAAGTGGATCAGATCATCATCAAGTGAAATGCCATTTTCAAGCCCAAGAAAGCCCATTTTGAAAGTCCCTTTCGGAAGACCCCATGAATTTCTTAAATATTTTGGAAGAACACATTTAAATCAACCTTTCTTCTTAATTTGTCCCTATTTATTTTGAGAGATTCTTCTCTTTTAACTTCAATTGAAAACTATTTCTGAAACTCATTGAATTTATACTCGTATTTAACTTATTAAATATTGATATATATATATATATATATATTTATATTTCGAAAACAAGTAATTCATAATTATATACGCTTTTCCTAAAGCTATCTCGAAAGGACAGTAATCCCTTAGACCAAAAAAAAAAAAAAAAAAAAAAAAGGAAACTTTCGTTTTGTGATACACAGAGATCCATGTGTCTGTATATATGTTTAATATGTGTATGAATGACACGTGTTGGTAAATATGGGGACATCGTGAGATACACATGTACATATGGAAAATAAATATTTAATTATTAATTGAGTAGGTCTCATTTAGATTTTTATTAAAATTTTACTTAATGTTTATAGCTATTTTGTCCATTTTCAATTAGTTTTCCTTGATTTTTTGTATTCCATTTGATACATTCAGTTTGTAAAACAAGTGAGCAAATGAGCACATGTTAATTTAAATTTTGGATTATGTTTGGTCCAACTAATTTTATAATTCCATAATGGGGTTAAAATAAGATTTGATTGCAAAACATATGACATTAATACATTATATTTGTGTATGTATAGATTCATAAATACTGTGAAGAATGTAGAAATTGACACGTGGGTTTTGGGTTGGAGAGAGGAGCAGTGGTGGCCTGTGGGACGGGTGGAGATGCTTCTCTCCCAATATGTTCTCTCTCCCTCTCTCTACATTTGACATCTCTCTCTCTCTCTCTCTCTCTCCCCCCCCCCCCCCCCTTTTACCTTCTCATTTACTTTGTGTGCATTCTCTGATTTTCTTTCACTTTCCTTTTCATCCCACCTTCTTTCTCTCTCTCTCCACCCCAAAATATTATTATTTCATCTTATTACAGACGGGTCCAGCGGAAAAAAAAATCAAATCTTTAATGTGTTTTTTCTTCGGTGTCATGAATGTAACGGAGAGGAAAAGGATCATGAAAGGGCTTGTTATCGATTGCGTAAAAGCTTCTGAGACTATTTAATGGTAAGCTGAAATCATTACTACAAAAAGAAGCGCTCCATTTCCTGTTTTTCATGGTTTCTTGTCTTTCTTTAGTGAGAGAAAGCCTTGGCTTCCTGAACTCAGAGAGAGAGAGAGAGGTTTTGGAGGTGGGTTTGCCCCAGATCCAGGGAACTCGAGCAATACGTGAAAAAAGGAGCAATCTTTATTTTCTTCGGTAGATTTGTTTTTAAAGTCTTCCTGTGATTCTCTGTACATCCAACTTTCTTGGGCTCTCTTTCTCATGACTTTTATTTTCCTCTCTGTTAGCTTTTATTCCAGTTCATATATATATGAAATTTTCATTTGTGTTTTTCTCCCATCTTTGTATTTGATTGAAGTAGATAGGGAAGGAGATTGAAGAGGAGAAGAGAGCTGGAGAAGCTTATCCAGGTTCCTGAAGGGGGAGACTGTCTAATTTGGGAAATGGTTTCTATTTGTGGAAGCCTGGATCCGTCATGGTTGACCAGATCTGTGTAAACCACACGCTGCTTTATCCGGAAATCTAAATCGCTTGCCTGTTAGTGTATCTCCTTTGAGGCATGGAAGATGGTTTCCTCCATAACATTGTCCTTGTCCGAATCCTGTCCTCGCTGATAGGTGACCAGCTTGTCCAACAATGGTAGGGTCTTGTTCTGTCGGAGGGTGGTCCGGTGGCGAATTCTTGCGATATCTTGACAGAGAATCCGATGGAAAAGATGATTACTCCGGTGGTTGTGGCGATCGGACTTTCTAGTTTCGTCTTCGATAATCCTGTGATAGCTGCGGATATGGATACTACAGGACTCGAGCCTTCAACAATGGAGGCTGATGCCCCTTTACCAGATAATGTAAGCAAGGATTCTGACAGTGAGGTTAAGGAAGTGGAAGCTACTTCTTTGGATGGAGTGTCTGAAACTAAGGCTGAGTTAGTTGTAGTTGTTGATGATGTTATGAGGGAGATTGAGGAATGTGATGCTCTGTCACTTGAGGGCGATTATTCGCATTCTTTGGCTAGCGAGACTAGTAGCTTATGTGGAGATGATTTCCCGGGTTTCGAGTTTGCTTCTGACATGGGAATCCTTGGTGCTTTAGACATTGTTTCAATGGCCGCTGTTTCGGACATGAATTCAGACATTGCTACTAACCCTGGAAGTGTCTCTAGAGATGAACCATCTTCTGTTGTTCTTCGGTTGGCAGCGGAGAAACCAGTGGCACGAAGTGTCTTTGAGGTTGAATGTATCCCGTTGTGGGGAATCACGTCAATATGCGGAAGGAGACCCGAGATGGAAGATGCTTTTGTGGCCATGCCTCAGTTCCTGAAGCTTCCGATTCATATGCTAATTGAGGACGGAGTTCTTGATGTAACGAGCAACCGCTATTCCGAGCAAACGGCTCACGTCTTCGGGGTTTATGATGGTCATGGTGGCTCACAGGTGACGTTTAGACCCGTTTCTTTTGTCCCTCTTGATTCAGTTTGATCTTCTAAATCTATGTTCCTTCTTTCAGGTTGCAAACTATTGCCGTGGGAATCTGCATTCGGTTCTTGCTAAGGAGATCGAGCTTGTCAAAGAAAGGATCAGTAACGTGAATGCGAAGCAAAGCTGTACTGAGCAGTGGAAACAAGCGTTGGCCAACTGTTTTATCAAGATCGATGCCGAAATCGGGGGAAAGCCCGATAAAGAACCAGTTGCGCCAGAAACTGTCGGTTCAACCGCAGTTGTCGCTATCATCTGTTCTTCCCACATCATCGTAGCAAATTGCGGTGATTCGAGAGCAGTTCTCTGCCGCGGGAAAGAACCCGTCGCTTTGTCAGTGGATCATAAAGTAAAAAAGCTTCTTCCTTTCACGGTTTTGCGTCCATTTTTACTTGAGGGTATTACTGATTCCCACCTTGTTTATGTTTTTCTTTTAACTTTCATAGCCAAACAGAGAAGACGAGTACTCAAGAATTGAAGCTGCAGGAGGAAAAATCATAGAGTGGAACGGGCACCGCGTTTTCGGTGTTCTTGCAATGTCGAGATCCATCGGTATGCGCTTGAAACGCTTGTATTCGATCCTTATTTGTCACGCAATACCCACATTGTTTCTGTGTATGGACTTGTATCCATACGATTCATGTGGGGGGTGTTCTCGGTCTCTTGCAGGGGACAGATACCTGAAACCGTGGATCATACCGGACCCGGAGGTCGTGTTCTGTCCCCGGGCAAAGGACGACGACTGTCTGATCCTAGCGAGCGACGGTTTATGGGACGTAATGACGAACGAGGAGGCCTGCGAGGTCGCCCGGAAACGCATAATGGTGTGGCACAAGAAGAACGGGGTCGAGGGTCTGCCTCGGGACAGAGGCAAAGGCGTCGATCCAGCGGCTCAGTCCGCGGCGGAGTATCTGTCGAACCGAGCTCTTCAGAAAGGGAGCAAGGACAATATCACTGTCGTGGTCGTGGATTTGAAGGCGCAGAGGAGGAAGTCCAAGAACAGGCCTTGAATTTGGGGTTTGATCTTTGATGGATGCGGAATTATTATTATCATTGTGTATATCGTTTAGGATGTTTGTGGGTTTTCCCAGTATATTGTAGACTTGTACTAGGAGCCAAAAAAATGATGAAAAGTCCCACGTTTTTTATACGATGGAATTATTATTATTATTATTATTATTATTATTATTATTATTATTATTATTATTATTATTATTATTATTATTATTATTATTATTATTATTATTATTATTATTATTATTATTATTATTATTATTATTATTATTATTATTATTATTCAACGTTGTAAAATATAAATCTTGCTTCTCATGAGAGACTATCTCCCTTTTCAAGTATTATTTTTGAAAAATTAAACAGGTATTTTTTTTTGAAAAAATTGAAAAAAATAGAATATGAAAAATCAAACCGAAATTTAATTGAATTCCGAAATATCAATCCGGACTATAGTTCCAAAAATATATTTTTTTTGTGAAAAAAAACACACTAATTGAAATAGGTGATAGAAGACTTGCATCTCACAACACAAGTCCTAAACTAACTTCCATCGTTATATTAGATAAATATTAATCATAACCACGGCATTAAAATTGATATTTTTTCCAAAAACTTTGACTTAAAAATATACATATTTTTATATAAATTAGGGAAAATCCTCTAAAAAAACACTGAACTTTTTCCAAAAACTGTAACAATTTTTTTAAAATTTTCAAAATATAAAATGTTCAATCTTTATTTTCAAAATATAAATATTTCAATAATAATTTAACATGATTTCTGTTCAAGTAAAAATCGAATAATGTTTGGAAATTTATAAAAACTAAAACTTTCATATATATTCAACACCAATTTTTACAATTTATATAAATATTTTAATTTTTAAAATCTTATTTATTGTTGCTAGAGTAGTAACAGTATTAATAACTATAAAGTATTTAAATATTAAAATTAATGAGTTTAAATAAATAAACGTTTATACTATTTTTAAAACTCATGTAAAACTTGCATTTTAAATAACTTGATTAATCATTCAAAATGATAGGAATTGCCATAGAGACGTTAATCATAACATAAAAGAATGGCGGGTGAAATGGAGGACAAGATATGAATTTTTTTACGATCGTATATGATAATAAATATTGGATGGTAAAACGACAATATATGTTCAAAATAAGCGTGATCGAGGTAAAGTTAGGATGAATGTATACACAAATGGATAGAATTCAAAATAAGGAAATTAGAAATAAAATATAAGTAATACGTAAGAATATAAATTATGAAAAAAGACATCTAAAATGGTTTGACAATGTAAAATGCATATTGATAAACATTTCCATTGGAAAAGTAAAAAAAAAAATTATAAGAAAAAGAAAGACAGAAGCACACACGGTAAACAAAAAAGAAAAAGACAAGACTTGTCTGTAACTGAGACAAGAACTCGACTTATTATATGATTATTTAGGAAATTTTAAGACAGGAACTCGGCTTCTTTCTCAAGGCTTTGTCGGAGTGAGCTCGCCGACAGTGCGGGGGAGACTCTGTTCTTGCTTAACACTATCGGCCCATTTCGAGTTGATAAGTACCCTCTCGATGCTCTGTTTCAGCGTCCTCGCTATCGATGGCTGCGACCTCGTCTCAAAGAACTCCTCCACTTCTTTGGCCTTCTCCACTGACGCAAACTGAAAAACAGGAGAAAATATAACACTGTGAATTTCAATGCCGTTTTTCTCATCTTAAACTCTTTCTAAAGGGAAGTGGCTTTGAAGGAGCGAACCGGTGATACGACTGCACTGACAAATCGAGTTATCAAGAACCCCGAGCCCCATGTCTTCGATATCTTCTCCCAGTTTTCCTGCGTTTGAACAGCAACAAAGAGTAGAATCACGAGTCACGACCCGATACACGAAAACCCGTCTATTTCCTGTTTCGGGAAGTGCATTCTCTCGGATCGCTGAAAGAGACACATCAGCCTCCAAACCTTTTCATTATAAAAGAAAAACTCGGGTTTCGAGTCGGCCAGAGTTGGGGTATTGCTTAATGGCAAAAGCTAAAATGGTGAAAGTTATATACTTTGGTTTGGAATTATGGTGTACTATTAACAACAAAGCTAGAGGTCAAGGTGAGTTAAAGCAAAATCATGAATTCTAACGAACGAATCCAGGCATTGTAATGGCAACTACAATTTCACATGCAGCGTACAAGTTGAAGCACATATGTAACTAGTTTCTTTATTTTTTAAATACCTGGAACCATTTCCAGGCTACTTCTCGTCCTTCCCAACTTACAGCAAGCCCGTATACAGCATCTTGATTGCGGACCTGTAGAAACATGTAACGATAGTGCAGATATTTCAAAACCGTGAGAGATTGATGAAAATAATTGCTCGCCACCTTGTGAAATGATAAAAAGAAAACGATTACATCTTAAGTGATTTCAACTAAATACAAGTTAAAACAAGATATACCTCCGGAGTTAAGATGAAGTTAAGGACGTCGAGAACTACATTCGGGTCAGGACAAGATGCTAATGAACCTGCAAATCACAGCAAAAAAACGTTGATTAAATATGATCAAGATGATTTACAGTTCACCTCTTAAGCTTTACGAAAAAATATAAACACATACCTAGGATTCGTGTTTTCTCCTGGCTGAGGTCTGTTTCCCTATAAACCATCAGAAGCGACTCAAAGCCCGATTTGTCTGAACTGTTGACTGTCTGCATCACAGCTACATAAGCAGCCTACGAACACAATCCGAACAAACAACAATAAATATAAGATCCGATATCAACGAGAGAAAGAACTTGAAGAGTGAAGGGTCATATGGGTAGAAGCAAACCCTTCTAATGTCCGGAGGCAGAAGAGAGGTGTTTCTGTCAGCCAAAAACGTGTCAAAACGCCTTCTTGCTTCTGTTAGTGTCTGGTCATGACCAAACACAGCGAGTGCCGTCAAAACTTCCCCTCTCAGCATTGCATCTAGATGACTCTCGCCTTGTTTAGGATCCCAACCGAGTTTCCTGCACGATAATTCAAATACAAAGTGAAAAAAAAAGCATCCACGTAAAGTGGCCTATCTTGCATAAAATGTGCAAATAAGTAAATGCCGACTTGCAGACTGATATATGTCTAGATATGCTCAAACGCCTTACCCAGCAGCAAATTGGAAAACGCTGATGAAAAATTGTTTAATCCCTTTCACCAATTCAGGTTTTGCATCTGCTACAATCTTTGCAACTTTATAGCTTATCTGTCAAGAGCAAAAGTACGAGTTAGAGGTGAGATTGTAACAATGTATTTTGGAAGATCAAGAAAATAGGTGGCAGATATTTACAGCAATAAGGTTTGACAGCACGGTATAGTCAAGTTCCTCTCTATAAGCACTCATCAAAGTGAGCAAAGAAGTCAGGGACTGCTGACGAGCCATAGAAAGCGCGAAAGAGTCGTCCAAAACACCTGCAAAAGAAAAGTACAACACTTTAGTCTAAATATGCAGCCACCATAAAATAGATTAGAAAAAATAAATCAACGAGAAATTACCAAATCTATCCGTAGGGGTCAAGGTTTTGCTTTCAATTGCATGTCTGAGTCCAGCTGCAAGGTTTTCATCATATTTCACCCTATAGAATCCAGACTGATCTACATTGACTTTTATCCATGAACACATGTTCTTCCCATTTCCATCAGCAACAGAGCAACCCAAAGATTCCTTTAAATCAAGTGTTCCAGTTTTGGCTTCTAATAAAAAGTTCTTGCGCGTGTCATATGAACAACAGCACAAAGTTACTGGAACAATCCATTGTCCTTCCCCAGGAGAACCACTTGATAGAAATCGAGACTGTCATTTAAAATATAGTTATTAGAAGATGAAGCATGCATAATCTATTACAGCCCATCTATCAGGGCTGTACCCTGACTTGAAATTAAACCATCTAACTGTGCATTTGAATGGTCAATAAGTATCAAGATCAAACAAGAGCAAGAAAACTAAACCTGCTCGAATTCCAATTTCTGATCATTGATTTTGACTGAGACAACAGGATATCCTTTTTGCTTCGTCCAAGAACTCATTAGCTTGTTCACAGGTTCACCAGATCCCTCTTCCAGGGCAGCCCATAAATCCTCTGTCTTTGCGTTTGAATAAGCATGTCTCTTGATGTATGCAGCAAGTGACTTCTGCTATCATATAGGTTCATATAAAAACTATTGAAACAAGAAGAAACCGCATATAGTAGTCGTAGATTACAAATTATGTTTGCACAATGTGTCCTTACATAAAACAGAAGATTCCCAAACTGACCCCAAATTCTGCTTTGTAATAACAAACAGAATCATCAGAGACAATAACAATTCTCAGTGTTTCAGACTTATCTTTTGATTAATAATTGTGTTCCTTCCCAATCAATGGGAGGAAATAATTTGGTAACACACCGCACCATTTACGTATCAATGCTCTAATCTGTCATATAATTTTCGGGCTCAGAGTTGAAGGTATAACAGTTGTTCTCACATCCCTCCCATTAGGAACAACCATGCCCAACCTGGAAAACCTCTCATCATCAACATCGCCTTAATCCCAAGTTTATTTGGGGTTGGCCGCATGGATTCTTCATTTCCACTCGTTTCGATTTTGCGTTAGCTCTTTTGGAATTTGCAACAATTCCAAATCATTCCTAATGACACATTCCTAAGTTAAGCCTAGATCTATCCCTTCCTTTTCTCTCCACCCCAATTCCTGTACTCTCCGCTTTTCTAACCGGCGCATCTATTGGCCTACGTTGTACGTGTCCAAACCATCTTAAACGTCCCTCTCGTATCTTCTTTTAAATCTTCTCTTCTATACCTATTACCTATCTTCTCTCTAATAGTCTCATTTCTAATTATATCCATCCTTGTGTGTCCGCATATCCATCTCAACATCCTCGTCTCGGCCACACCACACTCATTTTAGACATATATATGTTATCCTTTCGGCGCTCAGCATTCGTTACCATACTGATGCAGTCTTATGTCGATACGGTAGAATTTTCCCTTCGAACGTAAGAGAACCTATCGCAAAGAACTCTCGTGGCTTCTCTATTTCAACCATCACACTTTTATCATGTGACTAACATCTTCGTCGCATCCCCTATCCTTTTGAATGATTGACCCAAGATAT